CCTGCTGCCTCCGAAATCAAAATGTTAAGCCAGAATAAAACTCTCTTCTACATTACAGTGCTGGAATTGGCTCACTGCAGGGCCAGAATTATATCTAAGCTGACATAAAGGACGTGGCAGGTAGGAATGCCCCATGAAGGGCCAAAGCACTGGGACTGAGAGGAAAGATGCAGTAAACAGTGGCAAGAACCAAAACAGAAGTTAAAAACCTTAGACAGAAACTCATCTGTCACCGTATTTTTAAAGGACTGAAATCTTCCCACCCTCAAAACATTAAAAAAAAAAAAAAAGCTTTTTCCACTATAAATGTAAAATCACATTTTGCTGTAAAAAGTTTTCTTTTGCTTGACGCTTCCTTTAAGGATCAGTGACACCTTTGTATTTTAATTAATTTGTCTTCTGCACTTGAAAGTTAGTCATGTCTGTCTCTGCTAATAACATGAGTTGCCAGCAGCACAAGCAAACGTAGGCAAAAAAACCCCAAAACACAAATGTTTAAGTTACTAACACTGAAAATTAATCACTATAGATGTCTAAATCTTTTTTAGTAGCAAGAGTGTTTGAAAAATAAATATTTAAATAATTCAATACAACAGATTTAATCTCTAAATTAAAGCAAATCTTAAAGCATACTTCACCTTTTCCAGTTCTTTTGGTATCCGCATGCATGTGTATACTCTCTCCCTCCGCTCTGTGTATTTTGCTTCATTGTGTTCAAGGAAGTAACCTCTTGTTAGCTCAGCACTGATGAATCTCAGCAATGAAAGATCTACATTCAGGAACACACATAAGCAGAAGACACTTCAGGCGTGACCTCGAAAGAGTGAGAAGACTGCTATGCTTTTTGTTACATGCTACATGTTTCATTTACATCAGCAGAAACCTTCTGGGTTAGATGTGATTGTAACCAGAAATGTGAAATAACTTGGTATGGAGGGAGATATACTAGAAACAAGTCTTATGCTCTCCCACTCCACTGTTGTCTCCCAACAAAACAAGCTACTTTTCCCAGCCAATCATCTTCATCAGACATCCCACTTCTCACACTACTCAAAGCAGCTACACTGAATGCAATACGCTGAATGGATCTAATCCTTAATGTACTGACAGTCCTCCTAAATTCACTAAGCTCTATTTTAGACTTCTTAAAAGCTATTTTCTCTCTCAGCAACACCAGCAACTTGTTCTTTAAAATAAAGAACAACTTCCTGTATGATCAAAACATTAATGAATAGATGATCCCAAGTGATTCGGTGCACAAACAGTACAAGCATGCTGATCATTTGATGATCAGATTGAAGTCTTTCAAGACCAAAAAGCCATGAAGCACGTACAGGTTCTGCATTTTAATGGCTGTAGGTAAATAAGCCAAAGTCTGACTGACCTATGTTTAGTCAACTCATATGGCTTCTAAAAACAACTTTGTATAGATTAGTCTTGCAAAAAGAAGTAAAATATGAAATTATAATTATGAAAATTCAGGCTGTCAGTACATGGAAGTTGAGCTTAAACCTCAACACTCACTGACATCGTCTGACATTACCACCTCCTGGTAATGCTTCAGAAGTGACAGAACACTACAATAAAGCTCAACATTTCTGGTTATTATTGGCTTTTAAAAATAGAAACTCTCAGTGTTCACACAACATCCAAAAGATGGAAATAATTTATCTAGACAGATCGATGAAGAGCTACAGAGCATTTATCATGACACAAGCACATGCTCACAAATCGTTAAACTCAGATTTTAGCCAAAGTCTTACTGACTACTGGTGTGGGTGGGGTGGACCTTGCATGGCACAATGCTCCACATTTCTTGGGGGAGGAAGAGGCTGCATAACACACCCTTAGTAAAACAGCCTAGGTAACAGCTGTTAAGAGAGCAATGCAAGTATAGATGCTGCATGTGAAGAGTTCACCCAAAACTGTTCAAGATAGTGGCTTCTCGATATTCACCACATTGAAGATGATGAAGACCATTAGCTGGAAGAGTAGCCAGAAAATTACAGAGTTTTAAAGCAAAGAAGAAATCAGCTCAAACAAGTATAAAAGAAGCAGAAGAGGCAGGGTGTGCTTATAACCTACACTGCCTTGGGTGGTAGGCACATGTACGGAGTGTGATTAGAACTTGTGGGATTATAAACAGGCATATTGAAGTTTGCAGTGGTGTATTAACATTCTGTGTATGTCTAGTATTGTGATTTATCATGTTGCTGATACTGATGACAGCTATATAATTCACTGACTTCTGGTAAATTATGTATTGTTAATAAATCATTTAAGCAATGATTTGCTTTAAACTATGTGAACTGAACAGTTTTTTCTTGTTCAAGCTTGTTTGGATAGTGATTTAGATGATTTATATATTACTGATCCACTTCTAGTAAGTAGGCCAAAGCCACTGTAAGCCTTAAAGGTATTCATTTTAAAACGAACAAAAACAACATGAGTTTAATGAGTAGTAAAAACCTAATATTTACAAGTGAAGTTCCAATCAAAGTTCATTCCAGTGAAATAAGGCAGAAGTTCATTCCACTAAAGGACCTTGCAAGCTTGTTTTCTGGAGTCTTCATTTGTAACACTATCACTTGTAACTGTTTTGTTTTTCCCAATACTTTCTTGTTTAAACAGTAAAAAGTAAAAAGAGATAACCTTAGGTATAAACACACAAATTAACTAGTCAACATGTTAACTGCCCAAGTGTATTTTCTTCCACCTCAGATAACCAACCTTCACTAACTTAACAATAATGCATCTCAAGCAACTGAAGTTTCCTGAGAAGTAAGTATATGCATATGGGCAACTACCATGGAGTAACTTATGCGTCCCTTCCAATTTGAGATATTCCATGATTCTAAGGAGCTATTTGTTCCCACTCCTTCTTACTTCACACAAACTGCTTCACGGGCCTATTGTTGAAAAAGAAATTATTTTAAGTTTCCTTCACCTGGCTAAACTTTCATGCACTAAATATGAAGAGATAATCACTCCTCATGACTGAGGCTGATCAATACACAAGCTCCAGACTGTGACTGCGAAACAATCTCTCCAGTGACAGGGGACGCACTGAAGCACACAGTTGCTCAGCCACATCCTTTCTGAGCACTTACTGCCACCCAGCATTGGCCCTAGTTCTGTGCCAGTTGTGAAACGGATCAGCGGCTGATCCTATAGGAAAAACACAGTAAGCAAAAGAACAGCATGAGACACCAGGGCAGGACAGAGTAATAAATCATTCGAAAAAATGTCTCAATTCTGCTATCAAAGCATCATTTTTACTAAAAAAAAAAAAAAAAAAAACCACACAAAAACGCACTCTTTCCCTACTTCAAATTTCCCCGCTTTGCAGTCAGAAAGTTTTAGACTGCAGTCTAAGTTTAAACTGTTCAGATAGCACACTCTTAATGATTAAAGTATTCTCATTTATCTCCCCACCTCAGGACAGAAAAGCACAAGTATCTTCAAAACATAAAAGGCCAGTAACTCCTTGAAGGTAAAAAGATAATGATTTACCTAAGTTATACCTCAATGCATAACTACACAAAGGATAACCATTAACCTGAAATGGAGAGGAAAATTTGAGCAAATGTGAAATGCACAGTGCATCAGTAAGTTTCTATTGTTATATAATCATAAACTTCAATCCTAAATGCAACAATTCCAGGCACTCACTTCACTCCCATCAATTCTGAATACACACTTCTTCCATAAATACTCAAATAAATCAATCAAGATTAAAAAGCACAATTTTTTTAAAAAGTATTTCCTTTCGCTCTGAACAACTTCTCTGGACAGTACTGGTCCTGCTTTACCATCATGAAAAAACCTGACTTCTACCTACTATTTAACATATTGCTACCATTAGGTGAGATAGAATTTTTAGTTGCTCTGTGAAGAAGCCTGTTCTTCTAATGTTTTCTTGTCCTGAAGAGCCAGAGTGCCAATGGTTTTTACCCATTTTTTAATTTAAAATCAATTGCTGCAACATAGTTAGAAATTACACGCATACCCACAAATAACAATTTCCTTTTGTAAAGTTATTTGTTTGGCTTTCAGGCACATCAGTATCTATCTCGACCATTCTTTTTTCACCACAAAGCGATTCAAAATACTACAGTCAAGCCAATTCCTTACAACTACAGCAATTACATCAGTTTCATCAACACCACAGAACTGCAGTCAACCATGCCACATGTCCTATGACACAACACATCAGAAATGGACATCGCACCTGTCAAACTTAGACAGAAAGCATTCAATTGTTGGCAGATTATTTAAGTTAAAGCCTAATTCCTGTTTTTTTTTCTTTCTTGTATTTGCTATGACCTGCGGTATCACATTCAAGCCAACACTGAGGCAGAAAGCCTGGAAATGTGACCACCACTTTCAGCACTTTATGGATTTTCAGCAAGTCACTCAATTAAGAATATGATGCTAATAAAGTTATTTATAACCTTACCAACACTAAATCAACCCTGCCACACTGAGTGACAATTTTTACAAAAAAGGCAGGTGTATTTTCAAAAATTACTCTGTAGATACCTGAAATAACCAGTTCAAGTGTAAATAAAACTGTAGTTCGATTGCAAAGACCATGACATTTTCCCTTATTTTTCCCTATAAAATCCTCAGTTAGTAAGCTACATTTACTTGAAAAGACTTCTAATAATCTGCATACAACTTCAAGGCTCTAACAGTACCGCTACTTTCAGTAGTAGAGGCAAGGACTGTTGTACTCATAGTTATGTGTAAGTAACAAGAACTGTTAAGACAATAAAGCATTTCTCGTACTTCAGCAATGAAGCTGAGCGAGCCCGCAGGCCCCCGGCCCGTGGGGCTCAGGAAACACAGGGCCCAGGTCCGAAACCGCCGTGCGACGCGCAGTCACTGCTTGGCAGGCATCAAGCCTAAGAACCCGAGCTTCAACTTCAGTGTGTAACACTTCTATGCATGATGCCGGTGTCGTTTAGAAGCCTCCTGACGACTAGCAGTTAACAGGCTGCGTGACAGGGCACAGGGACTTCACTGCCCCCACTCCCATTCCCGAACATACTCGTGTGGAAAGCAGGGACACAGCGAGTCACGCCGACGGGCTTTATTTCACCGACGCGGGCGAGCTGGCCGACTAAACTTAAGGGCAAGGAGAGCAGAGGCAGCGCAGCCGGCGGGGAAG